TGCAGCCATGGGTTTTCTGCAGTTCTGTCCAGTGAACGCTTGCTGTTAAAAATATGTGCTGCTTTACTATGACTTTCATGCGTCCGAATGCGAGACCTGGGCACAAATGAAGTTGAACCTAAATTTTTTGGTGTCATACATGGTCAGAAAACATTCCCCTGAAATTTCAGCTTTCTATCTCATCTGGTTCCCGAGCTAGAAAATTTCCCGCTAAGAACTTTACGTGCCCGTACATGAGCCCTATGTGCACGTGAAGGATAAATTTAAGTTTGCGGGTTCGCGCGTGAACAAAGGAACCTTCTTTCAAATTTCAGCATCCCAGCTTTTGTGGTCCCCAAACTAACAAATTTCCCGGCAAAACTTTCGCGTGCCGGCATGTGAGTCTTGGGCATCAGTGGAGGGGGGATAAAATTAAGTCGGCGGGGTCGCATGTAGACAGAAAATCTTTTTCCAAAATTTCAGGTTTTTATTTCACGTATTCCAGACTGAAACCCAGTACAAAATGCATTCGGCAAACCACACACTCTGACACACACAAACAAAGACGAGGATGTTACAGTATGTTTTTCGTGCAGGTTTTATGCAGCACAAAGGCCATAAAAAGAAAAAAAAAAGAGGGAGATGCAAGAAGATGAAGTTTAAAGGACGAACGTCTCCAAGTGCGGGATTCTTCTGCAACAGGCGCCTGCCGAGATCACGCACATACTCAAATTCGTATTTTTTGCCATTTATGTCATCGTTGAGCTCATAATGCTTCTTCAATAGTTCTTCAGCCGAAGACACATCAACTGGACGAGTGTGGTCCCCAAGTGTCTGTTTTGTCTTGTCAATCCATGTTTGCAGGTTTCTTAAATTGTCAAGATACTTTCGGATGTCCTGTTTTCACAAGTGTTACGAATGGGCGAAAATGAACGAAAATCGAAAACACCGAAGAGCGCTCCAGTACCAAGTCACTGCTGGATTCAGAGCGAATAATTTTACCTGACGGCACTGTCGAACATCTGATGGCCTTGAGTTTGTTCGGCTTCTTCGATCCGGGCTGCTGAATTGCGCTGAAGTTCATTATGCATTGCCACTAATTCACTGATCATTCGCTCGATTTTTGCAGCTTCTTCCGGATGTTCTTTCTTCACCTGCAAAAAAAATGCGTCTTTCTTAACCTTTGAAGCTTTGCTGAAACTAAAAAGAAACATTTCCGTAAACACTTCTGGCGATTAGCAAATTAACACAGTCATCAAGTGGTATAGCATTAATAACTAGAATGAAGGCTTCGGTATCTATTGGGTTGTGTAAGTCGCCGGTGGTACCAGGGCAGCATCACGTGCGAAGAAGGCTTGTAACAGTAATGCATTCAAGTTTGTCCAAAAGCTTGCAATTCAAAACCGCAAATTATAAGAGCAATACTGCACGGCTTTATGTTGCAGGCTTTGAAAACGTGGTTGAACCATAAAACCAAACCTCATCGGCAAGTTGACGCAAATACCAGATCTTCTCTTCCAATGGCTTGAGATCTTTCCCCAGGTTCTGATAGCGTTTCTGGAGCGCTTGAACGGCTTTCGGATCATTCATATCGACTTTGTGCTCCAGCAAATCAAATTTGTCTTGCATCCACGATCGCGCATCCTCGCAAGTCTCAATAAATGCAGCAACTCTTTCTGCTGCTTCCTGGAATTATCTGTGACGATGCGGAGGACCGAATGGCGTCCAATTTTGACAAGTTTAATCACGCAAGGGAAAAACTTCGCAAGCTGGCATAGAGAGGACAACAACGGAACACACACCGTAACAGCACTACTCGACAGCACACTATGCACAAGGATATCTCACCGACTCACAGGCTGCTAAAGGTAGCAAAGTCTTCGCTGGTAACATCGAGAAAACTCAAGTGAGACATTTGCCAGTGCCGAGCAACAGAACAATTCATAAGAAAGCATCTGCAGTAGTGAATACTACGGGAATCACGTGAATCAGTTTTGCTAGGTTTCTGATTGTCAGCTTACACGTTAGTAGGTGAAGGGCAAAAATCATCATCGAATACTTAGGCTGGTAACAGCAAGACCAACAAATAAAATGCACTACCAGTATAAACCGGCGCCATAACACGAAGCGCTGTTCAAGGTTTAGAAAATTTTGAAAACTTCAAATGACTTACAAGCTGTCGCTGTTTCGTTTTCCACAAATTTTGTATTTTGCTCCAGAGAAGATTCGCAACATCCTGGCGCCGTCGAATTTCATCGCTATGGCTATGGCACTCACCCACCAATTCCTCAGCCGTATCGTTGATGCGCTTCAGCTGCATTTTACCGCTTGCATTCATTTCATTCTCCAATTTCTGAATACGAAATTTCAGCCTGACAAAATGAACATGTTCGCGAAAGCTCACCCAGCCCGACCAGTGCTTTAGTGCCCATTTAGGTCACTAATTCAGCCAAAATCATCGTTAACCCACTAGCAATCGTGGTACTCATGAACTCCGGTCAGTTATTTTTTGACAAGTTGAGGCAACAGAGTGGGCCAGTGAGACTACACGACTGCCTAAGCCGGAAGTACATCAGCCCTAATTTCATTATTTCTGTATTTGCTTCATATTTACACGACATGTTGCCGAACATACAACATTACACTCAGGATCGAAATATAATTACTAATAAATATCTTAATCTGAGGGCAGTGATTGGCTAAAATCGGGAGACGAAAAACCAGCAGCGTCTACAGGACCTCGAACGGGACAAGACGATCTCTGACGCAATGGCTGGAGCACAAAACAGCACATTTTGCCGCAAACTAACAAAAACGGGCAATAAAATATCTTTTAACATACGTTGAATTTCTTTCGTAAAGCCAGCACATTGTCAGAGGCAGTGGTATCCATCAAAAGAATCTCCGTTTCTTTGGCCCAGGCGTCGAACTGGTCGCATTCCCGCAAGAATCTGTACAACTTGATCGTATCAGTGAGTAAACGCCGGCGAATCTGAAATTAAAGACTTCTCAAGCATAAATCTGAAAAAGTATAAATTAACTTAGGCCTTAGACTAAAGACATGCTAGCGAAACTCATTTAAATTCCAGCAAAAAAGAAAAAAAAAGACGGACTCAAACAACTGCCTCTGACTCATCTGGAAAGAAAAAAAGGCTTTTCTCTTCTGCAGGAAATTTCCAAGTTCGGCTTACCTGGGCGGAATTATTCAGTTTACGGTAGTCGGCACTTATGGCTTCCTGACGTTCCATGATAGCATTTCTGGAACTCTGTGGCTCGCGCTCGGTCTTACGCGTAGTGATTGTCTGAGCAACCGTTACCGTTTCACCCTCTACCACCCTGCAGTAATTTGCAGGCACATAACCCTCGGTCCCATCCTGTTTCAGGATGCGCCACCAATCGCTGTTGGATTTTTCGATCAGTGCTAACACCTGGAAAATGCTGGAAAGGTAAACAAACCATCCAGAGCAGAAAGGGGTGAAGAATGATACAGAAAGCTGTCATCAAGACTATAAAGAGCTGACAAATGGCTAAATGGATTTTGGGCAACAGACAAACACATGGTGTTTTTTGCAAGTCCCTTCATCCCCAGAATTTAAACTTATACAGCTTTTGTTCGCTTCTTTCGTGATTCCAAGGAAAAATTTTAAAGAACCGAAATTCCAGAAGCCTGGACAGTCCAAAATCACATGCCCCAAAATTTTATACAAAACTCTAAAAGTGTACATCGACAAACTCATACCGACAAAACTCAATGCATTTCATGTTATGAAAACAGGAGAGCGATGAACGACTCCTCAATAAAATCGGATGTGTGAGGGAAATACCGTGGCAAATTAAAAAGCAGGCAACAATGAATTACTTCATCCTTCTTCACATCCACATTGTTGCCTGCATATGGATAGAGCATTTTCACTTGGGGCACAATC